CATTGCATGCTGGTTCAAGTCCAAGCTGCTCAACTTCCAATCCAGATCACTGCTAACATGCCTGGGAGAGCAGCAGAAGACAGCTCAAGTGTTTGGACCACTGAGCTATCAGAGACCCAGAGAAGCTCCTGGGCTCCTGGCTTTGCCCTTGCCCCACACTAGCCATTGTGGCCACTTGGGAAGTAAACTAGAAAACGAAAGATCTCTCTCTCTCTGAACATCACTCCCACCCTCCCTCTGCTGCTTTCCCAGGCACACGACCAGGGAGCTGGGTCAGAAGTGGAGCAGATGGGACTCAAACAAGCACCCAAATGGGATGTCAGCATTGCAGGTGGACATTTTTACCCACTATACCTCAATGTAGCCCTATAAACTTATCTTTTACTTATATTTTTCTTTATATTTTATATTATTTATATATTTATACTTTTTTAAATACATTTTTTAAAAATTTTCATTGGAAAGCCAGATATACAGAGGAGCAGAGACAGAGAGAAATATCTTCATCTGTTGATTCACTCCCCAAAGTGATCCCAATGGCTAGAGTTGAGCAAATCCGAAGCCAGGGGAAATATACTTCCGGGTCTCCCACATGGATACATTGTGCCAAGGCTTTGGGCCATCCTCAACTGCTTTCCCAGGCCACAAACTGCTTTCCCAGGCCACAAGCAGGGAGTTGAATGGGAAATGGGGCGGGCCAGGATTAGAACCAGTGCCCATATGGGATCCCAGCATGCGTGAGGCGAGGACTTTAGCTGCTAGGCTACCATGCTGGGCCCCATAAACATTTTTGAAGTTCCCTCATATTATTCAGCACTAAAAAAGAATGAAACACTGAAGCACGTTCTAAATTGGACTGTAAAAAGAGCTACACAGGCCCCCCAGGACGACACAGGTCGTCTCAGGACTGCTTTGCGCACGGTGAGCCGCTCACAGGGCCTTGTCTCTCCTACTACTGGCACCTGCTGGAGCCAGGGAGGGGGATGGGAAGTGGTGAATCTGGGCGTCTGAGGAATTTAATGTCCTGTGGTCGCCAGGCCGTGGAGGCCCCCCAGGACGGGACTGCTTTGCGTGCAGTGAGCTGCTCCGGGGCCCAGCAGGGGAGCTCTGGGATTTTGGTTTTTTGAATTGCTGCTCAGGTAGCCCCATGCTGAACCCTCAGTGCTTTGGGGACCTGAATTAATCCTAAAGATTCCCAGTGACAGTTAATCTTCCTCACATGAACCTGTAATTAATACTGTCTCAACGCATGCGTTTTGAAAAATTGTAAAACCTAACACACTTTCAAAACCTTGTGCTAATCAGAAATGGGGCAGAAGAGCAAAGAAATCTTCCATCTCCTAAGAATGTGTGAGGAAGCCATGTAGTGTAACCTATAAGGTACATAACAAGTAACTTATAGACAATAGATTCAAAACAGCATTAGACAACAGTTAAACTACAAAGACATACAGGGGGAACCAAAGCGATCCTAACAACCTATTAACAGGAGGTCATATGCACAGAGCAGGGGGGACCCCAGAGTGGAGCAGGGGGACAGGAGGCTTGTATCCCAACCCCTGTATCCCAACCCTGGAGACTCCTAGATCCTCACCAAGGACTATCAGCATGAGCTCCAAGGACTACATCCCATCTGCCAAAGAGACCACGCGGGACTGGAATGCCTTCAGAGGCCAAGAACTCAGAGGACATCCTCTCGCCCTTTAGATCTACCACATGGGATGGAAGAAGCCCGAATCCTTCCTTGTAGGATACAAGGCCATCGGAACAACAGCCAGGAACCCTGAGCGGTCCTCAGAATCAGAAGAACAGTAAACTTCCTTCAGGACTAGGGAGAGGAGCTTTCTCTGGTCCTTACTTAGTTCCAACTTTGGGTCCCCACCCTCTCTGCAATGATCATCAGGGTCGCTCCAGAGCACCCCCCCCCCACACACACACACACAAATTAGAATAGACAGGCAAAGAACAACAAGGAAAGATTGGTCAGCATGGTCTCACATATACTTTACCAGGTAGGACATAAAGAATAAGTACTCCTCACCAAGGTATTGAAGGTTTCTCTGCACACCCCTCCTTAAACTGTTTCGCACCTCAATTGTTGAAATGTCAACAAAGTAGTCATAGGATGTGGTTAAGAATCTGCATTTATTTTTAACGTGTTGTTTACTGAATACTATGTCAATTAATTCCATAACATTATATATTGTTGCTGATGTTATGTTGGGGCTCTAAATTTGATCGGGATTTTACTCTGTTGGCTCTACCTTCAGGCCAGATAAGGTCTCCCCAAGAAGCCGTGGAACTTATCTGGACAATAAGATGCTGGACTCTGTGCTTGGTATAGGCTTGCAATGGAGGAATCTCAACTGAACTTGAACTGTGGTTATGCAACAAGCTGGAGGAATCCTCCATAGGGGGAGGGGGAGGGGAAGGAGAGGGGAGGGGGAATCCCAGTACCTATAAAACTGTGTCACATAATACAATGTAATTTAAAAAAAAAAAAAAAAGAGCTACACATACCTTCAAATATACTACACGTTACTGAACTGGACAATGTGTGGCTTAAAAAAGACTGAGTAAGATGTCAGCTAAATTTCCTAGTGTGATAGCTAAATCCTCACCTTGCCATGCAGCAGCATGCCATGTGGGTGCCAGTTGGTGTCCCAGCTACTACACTTGCCATTCAGCTCTTTGCTTGTGGCCTGGGAAGGCAGTGAAGGATGGCCCAAATCTTAGGGATCCCACACCCACATATGAGACCCAGAGGAGGTTCCTGATTTCTAATCTGCTCAGTTCTGGATGCTACAGCCATTTGGGGGAGTGAACCAGCAAATTTCTCTCTCTCTCTCTCTCTCTCTCTCTCTCTCTCTCCTCTTCTCTGCAACTCTGACTTTCAAAAATAAATAAACAAACAAATTAAAAACACTACTGCAGCTCTGGGACAAACCTGGGATTAGGGGAATCCCCTTATGCATAAACAGCTGCAACACACTAACAGTGAACTTGTGGAAACTTTGGCTTAGAGCACCATCTAGTGCTGAAAATCCTACAGTATCCACAAGCTCAGAAAATAGGCAAAGAATTTTGAAAAACAGGCACAAAGCCAGATTATGAAAACTGAAAACATTTCTGATCCTTCAACAAATAGATTACCACAAACATCAAAAACATCAGGAAGGGGCCCATTCTGACGGCACAGTGGCTAAATCCTCACCTTGCAAGCGCCAGGATCCCATATGGGTACCAGTTCATGTCACAGCTGCTCCACTTCCCATAGCTCCTGGTTTGTGGCCTGGGAAAGCAGCAGAGAATGGCAGAAAGCCTTGGGACCCTGCACCCATGAGAGAGAACTGGGAAGAAACTTCTGGCTCCAGGATTTGGATGAGCTCAGCCCTGGCCACTGCAGCCATTTGGGGAATGAACAAGCAGCAGCAGAGCTTTCTGTCTCTCTGTAAATATGTTATTCCAATAAAAATAAATAAATCTTCAAAAACAAAAACTCTGGAAACCATGACATCAGCTAATAAAAATAAAGGGCCAAAAACCAACCAGACAAAAATGGATAAATACAAATTCACAGACACAAAATATCCACATTATTGAAGTTGAAGGGACTTCAGAAAGTGAAAGAAGTAGAAAGAAGCGAAAGAATGGAAAAAAACTGCTAACCAAGAATATTGTATATATCCAGCAAGACTATCTTCTAGATTTAAAGATGAGACAATCCCAGAAAAACAGCTGAGAAAACTTATCACCACCAGACTTGTCCTATAATATATGCCAAAGGAATTTTTTCAAGTTGAATGAAATGCTAAACAATAAAAAAGTTTTAAGAAAGCAGAAGACACTGATAATAATACCTATCTATCTATGTATATTTATCCATCTCTCAAATAAGCAAAATTAAATAAACAAAATTAAAATAAGTTATAAAAATTTCACAATACAAAGGCTAGCACCATGGCACAGTACGTTAAGCTCCTGCCCTTCGCACTGACATCCAGCTTCCTGTTAATGGCCTAGAAACCAGTAAAATGACCCAAATGTTTGGACCCCTGAACCCACATGGGAGAACCAAAGAGGCTCCTGGCTCCTTACTGCAGTCATTTAGAGAGCAAACCAGCAAATGGAAGATCTCTTTCTTTTTCTCTGAATTTCTCCCTCTCTCTCTCTCTCTCCCTGTCTTCCAACTCCCCACCCCATCTCTTTGCTGTAATTCTATCTTTCAAACAGAAATAATAAGAAATCTTTAAAACACACACACAATTCACAAATACTGAGCCCTCCATATTATGGGCTGCACTTCTGTGAACTGGATGTACACTGAATTTCTTTCCAACATACCAACCCAAAAGGTCTATAATCCAAAGGTGTGCTGAGATCATATTTTAGTGGAAACAAGTTTCCACTTCTGCCCCTGCACTTTATTGGTATGCCTTGTCCTAAGATGAGAGGAAAAAGGTTAACATCAGCAGAAAGTCAATGAGTACCTCAGGCAGAGGCAGGGCCACTGAGGGCAAAAGGGTAAAGAACACACACTAAGAGACAGAAGACCACTTTCCCAGGCTACACAGCCAAACCTCTGTAAGGCACAGAAAAAACATCATTTTATAACTTAATAATTTATGCATATAAATTTCATCTTTTAATCCTGCTTTTAAGTATCCTTGTGTATGCAAGCACCCACCATGTACCAATTATGTTCTCTATTCTCAGGTACTACATACGTATACTATGAAGACATATTCAGAAACAATTCAGTCTTAAAAGATGTACAATATTTTCCATTAAAAAGTTTCCCCACCCCACAAAATTTATTCATTCAAGATACACTCACACAGAATATTTTTCTTGATTTTCATTACATAAAGCCACCAGGACCAGTGACAGTGATAAGAAAGCAATCAGAATATATTCAATTAGAATTCCAAACAACAGGATGACAGACAATCACCAAGGATTTGCCTTCAGAGCAAGTACACCAAGCGACTAACACTTACCAAACCAGCAGTTAGAGAAGGTGCAGACTGCCCCAGGGACTGGTTTCTCATTCGGACCAGGTTTGATGCTTCTCCTGAAGACTGCCAAGTCACCTGTCCCACGCTGCTATGTACACTGCTGGACAAGGGCAGCAGCTGCTTACCTTCAAACACAAGGTTTAGAAAACATGTAAGTATTTATGGACCAATGAACGAAAAAACATAAATGCAATATGTCCAGTAGGTAAAAGTACACTGATACAAAGTGAAGTTCATCTATATGCACTGACAAACATAATCCTTTAAAGTTCAAATTATCTTGGTGGTGGTGAGAACTACAAGTATTTTAAGTTTTCTAATACTAACCAATGTGACAGCTTCTCAACTTGACACCCAACCTCACAGTCCAGAAGTTTCTTCATCCCTTCCAGACTACTTAGGTCCTCACCTACTCAACATGAAGCATGGGTCTCCCAAGTATACTTCCCTAAACAAGCTGGTCTTCAGCATTACAGAAGACAAATATCACTCTTACCAGACTTCAAGTGCCCAATTCTGGTTGACAGACTTAATAGTCCCACAAGAAAATCACACATAAAGACTGCATTGTGGCATAGCAAGTTAAGCTGGTGCTGCTTACACTGCAACCATCCCATATAGGAAGAGCAGTTTGAGCCTCAATTGCTTCACTTCTGATCCAGTTCCCTGCTTATGCATCTGGAAAAGCAGCAGAAAATGGACAAAGTGCTTGAGTCCCTGTCACCCACCGAGGACACCCAGATGGAGTTCCAGGCAACTTGACTCAGTCTGGCCCTACCCCGACCCTGCCCCTGCCCCTGCCCTGCCCCGACCCTGCCCCTGCCCTGCCCTGCCCTGCCCTGGCCACTAACAGCCATTCAAGGAGTAAACAGATACAAAGAAGGCTTCTGTTTCTCCTTGTCTCTGTAACCTTGATTTTCAAAATAAATAAATCTTTAAAAAGAAAAGACGAAGTCAAACATTCAGGATGACTAAAATCTAAAATGACCCTCCATGAATCCCAATTATCTTCATGGCCTCAAATTCCAATCTTCAATACCTATTCATTCACTCAACTTCAACAGCATGCCCTGTACCTTTACTCAGCTTTATCTTTATTACCCTTTTAAGGAACAATTTAACAAAATTAAACATAAAATAAAACAGAAATAAAGATTAGGAAAACTTCACCTTGAAATCATATATTTGTTCATACTCAAAAAAATTGTACAGGGTCAGAAGTTGTAACTCAGCAAGCTATTTGGGATGTCCACATTTCATATCGGTACCAGAGTACACAGTGAATCCCAGCTCCGGTTTCCAATCCAGCTCCCTGCTAACATGCCTGGAAATGCAGCACAGGACAGCCCAAGTATTTGGGCCCCTGCCATCCATGTGGGAAACCTGGATGGAGTTCCAGCTGCTGTCTTCGGCCTGACTCAGCCCCAACTGCTAGAGGCATGTAGAGAGTGAACCATTAGATGGAACAGCACACACCCTCTTTCCCTCTGTCCTTTTCTCTTTGTCACTCTGCTTCTTTTTTTTTTTTTTAAGATTTATTTATTTATTGGAAAGTCAGATGTACAGAGAGGAGGAGAGACAGAGAGTAAGATCTTCCATCCGATGATTCAATCCCCAAGTGACCACAACGGTCGATGCTATGGGGATCTGAAGCCAGGATCCAGGAATTTCTTCCAAGTATACCACACAGGCGCAGGGTCCCAAAGCTTTGGGCCATCCTGAACTGCTTTCCCAAGCCACAAGCAGGGAGCTGGATGGGAAGTGGAGCTGCCGGGATTAGAACCAGCGCCCATATGGGATCCTGGTGCATTCAAGGCGAGGACTTTAGCTGCTAGGCCACGCTGCCGGGCCCATCACTCTGACTTTCAAATAAATGAATCTATTTTTTAAGATTTATTTTATTTTTATTGGAAAGGCAGATATACAGAGAGGAGAGACAGAGAGGAAGAGCTTCCATCCGATGGTTCACTCCCCAAGTGAGCGCAACAGCTGATGCTATGCCGATCTGAAGCCAGGAACCTCTTCCGGGTCTCCCACGCGGGTGCAAGGTCCCAAAGCCATGGGCCATCCTCGACTGCTTTCCCGGGCCACAGGCAGGGAGCTGGAAGGGAAGCGGGGCCACCAGGATTAGAACTGGCACCCATATGGGATCCCGGGTGTGCAAGGCAAGGACCTTAACCACTGCACCACTGCGCTGGGCCCATAAATGAATCTTTTTAGAAGGCAATTTTTATAACCAGCCTATTGTACTTCATAACCAACTAATGTAATATATTCCTAAAATGGTTACCGCTCATATTTCCTTGCATGGTTCTTTCACTGAGAAGTCATTACATGTACCCTCCACAACAGCAGCAATGATGATCATGATGGGTCTTTAACTCAAGACTTATAGCAGCCCAGAGTAGTCTACCTATTTTCTCTATTTCATTCTACAAATACATGATTCTTAAGGAGCCTGCCTGCTCCCCTCATCTATGTGGTCTAGAGAAAAGTTAACTTACTAACTCCTTGCATCTACTCACACAAAGGTCAGTATCATCTCTTTCTTCAGAATAAATGTCTGTTGAGGGAATGGAAGAAACCCATCCAGGCACACATCAATAAAGACTTGAAACTCACAAAAGACTGCTAAGAATTTAAGCAAAAAAATCACAAAATGGAAAGAATAAAATAAATAGAACTAGCCATTCACTATAATAAATACCAGTAGAAAACAAACCTTCTAAAACTTCTAACTCACAGAACTGGCATTATGGCATATGAGGCAAAAGGTATCTACAACACTAGCACTCCTTATGGGCACCAGTTTGAGTTCCAGATTCTCCACTTCAATACAGCTCTCTACTAGTGGCCTGGGAAAAGCAGCAGAAGATGGGTCAAGCACTTGGGTCTCTGTCACTCATGTGCAAAACTTGAATGAAACTCCTAGATCCTAGTACCAGCCTGACGCAGTCCAGCCCGACATCGGCATCTGGGGAGTGAACCAGAATCATTTTTCTCTTCATTTTTCCCTCTCATTTTATATATAACTCTTTCAAATAAATAAATCTACTTCAAAAGAAAAAATTTAACCTAACTCAAGAACTTACTACATGAAATATTACTAGATAAAGATAGCTGACTTGAACGTAAGATTTTATCATTTTGTCCTCCAGGAAATTCCATAAAAATTAGAATAAAGAGAAGGCATTTAATAAAGCAGTTAAAGAAATTCAGAATGCCTGATCTAATAGTCCCTGCTCCCCCCCCCTTTTTTTTAATGTTTATTATTCTAATCTACTTGAGAGAAAGAAAGAGATCATCCATTCACTGGTCATCCCCCAATTGCCTCCATAAGCCATGGAGTCCGTAACTCCATCTGGGTCTCAACATAAACAATAGGGGCCCAAGGGCCAGGCAGCGAGGCCTAGGGGCTAAAGTCCTCACCTTGAACCCACCAGGATCCCATATGAGCACCAGTTCTAATCCCGGCAGCTCCACTTCCCATCCAGCTCCCTGCTTGTGACCTGGGAAAGCAGTCGAGGACGGCCCAAAGCTTTGGGACCCTGTACCCGTGGCGGGAGACCCAGAAGAGGTTCCTGGCTCTTGGCTTCGGATCAGCATAGCATCGGCCGTTGCGGTCACTTGGGAAGTGAATCATCGGAAGGAAGATCTTCCTCTCTGTCTCTCCTCCTCTGTGAATATCTGACTTTGTAATGAAAATAAAATAAATCTTAAAAAAAAAATTATAATAGGGGCCTGAGCCCACGCACCTGAGCCAGCATCTACTGCTCTCAGGATGCAATAGCAGAAACATGGATTGGAAGCAGAGAAGTCAGGATTCAAATTAGCAACTCCCATTATGAGATGTAAGCATCCCAAAAAGTAGCTTAACATGCTGTGCTATACTACCTGCCTTTCCCACCTCCATTTCTGACTCCATCTTCCTGGTAATGCAAAGTGGGAGCCATCAGATGATGGCTCAAGTACTTGGGTTCCTGCCAAGCATAAAGAGACCCAGATTGAGTTACAGGCTCCTGGCTCCAGTCAGGCCCATTTCCAGATGATGTAGGCATTTTGGAAAGTAAACCCACAGAGGGAAACTATCCCTGCACACTCCACTCTCACTTTCTCTCCTGTCTTTCAAATAAAAATGAATATTTTTTTAAATGAGAGCAAGAAAGAAAAATACATTAAAATAAGCAAAAGTCATATCAAGAAAATGACATATACTGAATACAAAGGGGAAAACAACAACAAAATCTGGGAAAAAATCTAAAGCAGAATGTTCCAAACCCATAGAACCCATAAGCTACAATAAGCATAGAAAAGGATGCAGTTAGGAGGAGTATCAGTCTGCCCAACACAATCTGATAGGATTAATACTCACAAATGAAAACATTGGGGCAAGTGTTTGGCCTGACATATAGATGCTGCTTATGATGCTTATATACCACAACAGAGTATCTGAATTTCACGCTTGGCTATAGCTCCGGATTCCAGTTTCATGATAATGGCACCAACAATGGCTCAGGTGGGGTTTCCTGACACCCATGTGGCAAGACATGGATTGAGTTCCAAGATCCTGACTTCAACCCCAACCTAGCTCTAAACATTGTAGGCAATTGGGGAGCTGAACCAATGGATGGAAGTTTTCTTGCTCGTTCCCTCTTTGCCTTTCAAATAAATTAAGAGAACAAAACGAGAGGAATGAAAAACATAAGAAAGCAAGACATAAAGCTGATATTAGATTAACTGTAAAAGAACGACCTCTAGAGGATATACCATTCAGTAACCATGTAATCACTTCATAAGACAAAGGGGATTTAGCATTTCAGACACAAAACACTGATTCCTGGTTGTAAGGTGCTAAAAATTAAAAAAAGCAAAACGCTCTGAATAGGCAAATAAGGAAAGCAGCTATACGATTATATACATGACAAATAAAATGAATATTTCAAAGCAAGACTGAGAAAATAAAGCCATGGCAATAACCCTAAAACAGAAAGAAAAAAAAAATGGAAGTTGTTTACTATCAGACAAAGGAGTAAAATAGGATATTTTTTTCTCCACTGAGTTAGTATTACCTTTTTGAAGAATTACTTATTTATTTGACAGTAAATTTTTGGGCAAATGGAGACTCTGAGGTGGACTATGTCAGCCAATTGACCCTGGAAGGATTTCCTCATCACTGGAGCTTCGACATCAACAGCATCTCATTACTACTGAAACCACATGAGCAGAACCCTCAGAAAATGCTCCACCACAGGTACTGTGGGAGATCGCCCCTGGATCTCTGCCTGCTTAGCTCATGTGGGAGGCCATAGGCAAAATGGCACACCGTGTCCCAGGGGGAATCCCTAACAGGAGTCTTCACTAACCAAGACGCCAATATGGCCGTTCACTGGGCATGCAGCAAGAGCAACGGGCTGCACCCCATTTCTTCTCTGCCCAACTATGCTAGGACTTCCTTGGTAAACAACTCTAGGAAGTCAAATGTTACATTCACCCTGCTTTTCAGCAGACAATGAGGAGGTAACAAGTTTCCCCTGAGACAGCTTCCTGTGCTTCATGACCTTTAAGTTGCTGCAGGGTTCAGAGAGTTAGACATACATATTAGCCTATCACAATGTCATTGTTGGGTGGGAGTACTGTGGGGACCTCCTTCTGCCTGCCCCCTTTTCCCACCCTATATAAGCTTGTGACTTATCTCAAATAACCGGACATCCCTCACCACCAGCTTGTCTCCAGTGTTTCAGCTGCAGAACAGTGTCACTGTCGCCTCACACAGCACCCGCCAACCCCTGCCCAGTGGTCTCAGGGACTGTTGGACAGAAGACCCCTGAAAGGGTACCCTGGAATGACATTGGGTGGCTGTTCCCCATTCCTGGGTACTGAGGCAGTTTGGAAGGTTGGGTGTGGCTTCTCTCTTTGTATCTCCCTCTCCCCCAGATACAGGAAGAAGAAAAAGAAAATGTGTTAAAAATGGTCTCGCCCACTTTCCCCTAATCCTCAACCCTTGACCCTGATCAACTATGTAAACATCATCAAAACTAGAATTTTTTAAAAAGCACACAAGCATTGAGTAAAAGAAGTATACAATACACATGAAGAAATGAGATATTTTAATCAATTAACTGAGAATCTGTTATGGGGGGCAGCCAGTGATAGCCAGCACCCATTGACACTGGGCTAATAAAATTTGGCTGTGTTCTCTACCCTCTGTTCTGATGGTGGGTCCTAACAGCAATAGAATGTTAATTCCATTCTCAACCATCCACCCCCATCCTAAATTAGCCAGGATACTGGAAGTCCAATTAGTCTAGATGTTTTTAGCTACAAGCCCAGTTCCTGTTCCTGCCCATCCCAATGAGCACTAATCAACTCCTTAGCCCACAACACTTAGGTATTCGCTCCTGCCCACCTGTGACTCACCTATCAACTCAGAGGGGACGGTATTGCATTGTTGTGTAACCACTCCCCTCACAAGCCCCTTTAAAAGGCCTATGATGCAGAGGCTTGCTCTCTTTCTGGCCAGGTGCTTCTTTTACTCTGGCACCTCGACTCTTGGCTGACCTAGGACAGGTAATCCCGAGCATGGTCCCTGTGTCCTGCTTAGATGGGACAATGGATATAATAATGTTGTTTCTGGTTTGTGTGCTGTCAGAAGTTCCAGGAGAGGTGAGGCCTAGCAGTGATAGAATGTGGGCAGAGAAGCCAGGGAAAGGTGAATGTCTGTAGCTTTGTAAGTGTGTCCAGGTTATTCATTTCATGTCTCTTAGGATAGATTACATTGTTGAGGAAGCTGGAACATAAGTCTTCAGCTTAATGGATGGACTTAAGGATAATGATCATTTGTTCCTTTTGGGATTATGTTTGGTTGGATTGCTGTATGGACTTGTGATTTGCTATTGTGCTCTGTTGTCACCAAGCTTGATTAATAAAGACTCCTTAATAAACAGACATGTCTGGTGTGGTCTAGCTCACACCCCTCAACAAATCTATAAGAGATTTAAGTTATTATATTTTTAACTTATGTAATGGTAAGTTTTCTGAATAACTAATTTTATGACATTCTTTTTTATTAATTTTTTGATTAATTTTTTGAAATACTTTGAAACATTCTAATTCAAATGTAAACTCTTGAATATTTTGGATTTTATTTCTGTAGATTCTAATATGTATTTCAAATGAATAGATGTTTAAGGTTGGTGAACACAAAAAGATTATGGTGAACAATGAGGGGGAAAAAGTCATTTACTTATTCAAAATACAGTAAAAGGGGCCCAGCACAATACAGTAGCAGCTGAAGTCCTTGCCTTCAATGCACTGGGATCCCATATGGGCGCCAGTTCTAATCCCGGTGACCCCGCTTCCCATCCAGCTCCCTGCTGCCTGAGAAAGCACTCGAGGACAGTGCAAAGCCTTGGGACCCTCCACCCATGTGGGAGACCTGGAAGAAGCACCTGGCTCCTGGCTTCAGATTGGCTCAGCTCCAGCCATTGCGGCCACTTGGGGAGTGAACCATTGAACAGAAGATCTTCCTCTCTGTCTCTCCTCTCTGTATATAAAAATAAATCATATATATATGTATAAAGACATATATATATAAAGACAGTAAAAGAAAGAGGAAGAGACAGAGAGGAAGATCTTCCATCCACTGGTTCATGTCCCAAATGGTCATAACAGTTCGGCCTGTGCCAAGCCAAAGCCAAGAGCCAGAAATTCCTTTCGGTTTCTCATGTGGATGCCCAGGTCCAAACTCCATCCAGGTCTCCTGACAGGACTGGCAGAAACCCAAGCACTTGAACCAGCCTCTGCTGCCTCCCAGACATATTATCAAGAAGCTGGATCAGAAGCAGAGGCAGAACTTGATCCCAGGCCCTCAAACACGGGAAGCTAGAGTCCCAATCAGTGTCTTACCTCATTGACACAATGCACACCCCTCCCCTTGAACATTTAAATGTCTTTTCTTTGAAAATGGAGAGGGAGAAAAACAAAAGAAAGATGTAAAGGAAGTGAAGTCTACAGGATTGGGCAGAGACAAAAATGGCCAACAGAAATAGAGTGAAAAGTAATAGTGGTCTACCAAGAACTGTCCATGAAGTAAAGCAGATAAGCATTCAAAGTCTATGAGGATACATGAAGAGGGAGAACACAGCCTTCCTTACCTATAAGGGTTCTGAATAAGACTACTACCAGGAAAGGCGTTCAACGCCACTTCACCTGATACACCCTTAAATACTGACAACACAGGCCCACACCCAACAAAAACAAAAACACATTTACCTGACAGAGAGCTGGCCAGGCTCCCTCTCCGTAATTTGCAGTCGTCCTGACTAAGCTGTCGTTGAAGTTTGGCTTTTCCAGTTGATGAAAATATGTCAGGATTACTCAGCTTCCTGAATAGCAGGGGGCTAAGTCCAGTTACCACATCCTACACAAAGAAAAAAGAGCAAAACATGAATCTTAAATCATCTTTTATGAAATAAAGAAACTTTCTATTAGACATTTCTATAATACTCATTACAATTTAAAAGCACCAATATTTTATACCTTGCACTCAATAACTAAAGCCAGAAACCTATCTTAGTAAAAATTGATTGTGCCATAAGACATGGAACAATAGTTATAAAAATGTCCAAGGAAAAATAAAGGAGGAAGCTCACAAGATGGCATAAAACATTTTGAAAAGATGTATTATTCCTAATGAATATACTTGCATTGATGTCTATCTAGTTTATCTATACTCTTCTTAAATCCCACAAAAAAGCATAATTTAGTCTTTAAAAAAATCATTAAATGGGACCAGTGAAATAGCTCAACTGGTTAATCCACCCTCCATCTTCAAGCACTGGTATCCCATTCGGGTACCAGTACAGTCCATGTCCTGGCTTCTCCATTTCCCGTCTAGTTCCCTGCTTAAGGCTGACGAAAGCAACGGGAGATGGACCAAAGCATTGGGACCCTTCACCCAGGGGGCAGATCTTGAAAAAGTTCCTGCCTCCTGGCTTTGAATTAGCTCAGCACCAGCTGCTGTGGCCATTTGGGGAGTGAAACAACAAAGAGAAGATATTTCTATCTCTTTCTTTCTGTAAACCTGCCTTTCCAAAAATAAATAAATAAAAAAGATCATTAACCAACAAATCAGTAACAAAATCAGAAATAACATTCAATTAATACTAAATTAAAACTTAGAACTAAAAAAAAAATGAAAAACAGAGAGACAAAGAGAGGAAGAGTTCTTCTCTCTACTGGCTAACCCCTTAAGTATGTGGACACCAACAGCCAGAGTTTGGCCAGACTAAAGCCTGGAAACAGAAGCTCCAGCAGGATCTCCAATGGGCCTGAGAGCAACTCAAGCACTTGAGCCATCACCTATGCCTTCCAGGTGCATTAGCAAAAATAGCCAGACCTCAAACCTGCACTTGATATAGGATGTAGCTGCTCCAAGTGGCATTTTAACCTGTTACATTGCAATACCTGCCCCACTACTTTCTTTGCATAGCTACATTTGTCCCTAAATACATATTTTGAAAGAGGTACAAAATTTCTATGGCAGGACAATCACGTGACACAGTGATTAGAACTGCTCAGGATGCCCACATCCCATATCAGAGTACCGAAGTTTGAGTTCTAGCACAATGTCCTAGTCCAGCTTCCCATTAACATATATCTGAGGTAGCACTCAACCCACATTGAGTTGCCAGCTCCTGGGTCCAGCCCGGCCCAGACACTGCTATTGTAAGCATGTGATGACTGAAGCAGCAGTTGAAAGACTCAGTCTTTGTGTTTTAAATAAGTAAGATAAATATATACATAAACAGAATTTTTAAGAAGAAAAGACAGATAATATAAAATACTGAAAATATCTCCCCTTTAGCGTTGTTTCAGCTTGCCCCATTACATTTTTCTTTAAACATTTATTTATTATTTGAAAGGCAGAGTTAGAGCAAGGGAGAGGCAGAGACAAAAAAGAGATCTTTCATTTGCTGATGCAACCCCCAAAATGTCCACAATGGCCAGGGCTGGGCCAGGCCAAAGCCAGAAACTTCATCTCCAAATCTCCCACATAGGTGACAAGGGCCCAAGCACCTGGGCCACCGTTCACTGCATTTCCTAGGCTGTTACTGGGAACTAAATTGGAAATATAGCAGCAAAGACTTCAACCGGAACCCACATAAGATGCAAGCACTGTTGTCTATGGCTTAAACCCACTACATCCCAGCACCTTCCACCACCCCCTTTTTTAAAAAATGTTTATCTACTGATGTTATGTCAGAGCTTTTAATTGATTGGTATGGTACTCTTGCCGGCTCTACCTTCAGACCAGAGATGGTCTCCCCAAGAAACCGTTGAACTTATCTGGTCAATAAGATGCTGGATTTTATGCTTGGTAAAGGCTTGCAATGAAAGAATCTCAACTGAATTTGAACTGTGGTAATGCAACAAGGTGGAGGAATCCACCATGGGGGGAGGGCTTAGGGAGGGGTGAGGGGAATCCCAGTGCCTATAAAACTGTGTCACATAATAAAATGTAATCAATTTTTTTAAAAAGTTTATTCATTTATGTGAAAGGCAGTTACACAAAGAGATGCAGAAGTCTGTTCCACTTCTATTCCAATGATTCTCTTCCTCACTCACTAAACACAGTCCAACAATATCTAGATAAGCAGCACACCAAATAGTACAAAGACAAAATAAAAGCATAAGAAACACCTGACACCCATATCACATTACCATTTGAAAACCAAACTCAAGTAACTGGCACCACAGCAAAACAACAGGGAAAAAAACAGTAAAATTCACTCTTCTTTGGGCCCGGCGCTGTGGCGCAAGTGGTTAAGGTCCTCGCCTTGCACGCCCGGGATCCCATATGGGTGCCAGTTCTATCCCGGCAGCCCCGCTTCCCATCCAGCTCCCTGCCTGTGGCCTGGGAAAGCAGTTGAGGATGGCCCGAAGCTTTGGGACCCTGCACCCACGTGGGAGACCCGGAAGAGGCTCCTGGCTTCAGATCGGCATAGCATCAGCCGTTGCGCTCACTTGGGGAGTGAATCATCGGATGGAAGATCTTCCTCTCTGTCTCTCCTCTCTATATATCCGCCTTTCCAATATAAAAATAATAAAAATTAATCTTCAGAAAAAAAATTCACTCTTCTTTGTAGAAAGAATTAAAAAGAAGAAAGCACCTTCCTAAAGTAACTGTGACGGAAGAACTCACACACATGAAGAATCACTAACATTGGTACCTATACGTCTCTGGAGCATGATTTACAAACACCCCAGCAGAAAAAAGAAGAGTGAAGTTGGTAAAGAAAAACAAAGAAGGGAAAAATATTTTTGAATGTGGCGCAACATGAATAGGAATAAGGAGACAGTGAAGCACTGAACCATCCAAGCAACAGATGCATCCAGGAGTGAGCAGTGAGAAGGGAAAGTGAGAACAGCAAACAATGCAAAAGGACAGACTGTATCTCCACTGTTTGGTGCATCAAGAATGGAACGATACTTATGGCTCAAGAAGTCGTCACGGAAGGAGACAGGATTTGGGGACAAACGCTGGTAACCCACAGAGGAGGTCTGGTCACTTTCAGTGGCTAAGGTGAAAGAATAAAGACTTCTTGAGAGATCTGAAGCTAGTCTGGTATGGATATCCTGCACAAAGGCACTGTGGAAAGAGAATTAACAAGAGAATGAGCATTTGGATGTTTGCCATACTGCTTGGATGAACATCAGTCTTGACCAGAGAAGAAATATAACCAACAGAAGATTCCATTAGCAACAATAAAGAGAAACACTTATTCTTTTCGATTTCCGTATTTCCTACCACAACGCAACAAAGATGATGCAAGGACAAAAGGAAAAATGAAAGTATGAGTCTTGCCATTTTTCATTTCAACTCTCTCCTGCCAAAGAGAAGTATAAATAAAATTAGGTATGAAATTTAACTTTTATGCTAAGATATCTTTTTAACTTTTACTGAATTTGCAATTCATTTCAGAGAAATACATATTCCTAAGCATTGAAAAACACTCATGTAACTACTATCAATACTAGTCAGAACTCCTGATTCCTTCCAGGGCTAATCACAGTCTAACAGTACAAATGATCACATGTTGCTTCTCAGCCTTTTGGCTAAGGTCAAGTGTATAAATGATTACATAAAGCTTTATATGAACACAATCGGTCCAAACTCTTTTGCACTGTATCTTTTTCAAAATTGTGATCTGAAAGGCAGAAGAAGACCAGCACACATCTGCTGGTCCACTCCCCCAAATGCCCACAACTTCCCTGGCTGCACTGGGAAGCAGGAACTCAACCCACATCTTTCAGGTGGGAGGCAGAGACTCACTTCAAAGCTCACCTGCAGCTTCCCAGAGTACTAGGAGGAAGCTGGAATGGACAGCCAGAACAAGAATCAGCCCAGCACGCCAAGGGGGATGTGGGTATCTAAAACCAAACGCTTTAACTGTGTCCTGTTCTTTTGCTCAACTAGACTGTCTTTTTTGATTTTTGTTTTTTAACATTTATTTATTTATTGGAAAGTCAGATATACAGAGAGGAGGAGAGACAGAGAGGAAGATCTTCCGTCCGATGATTCACTCTCCAAGTGAGGGCAACAGCCGATGCAATGCCAATCAAAAGCCAGGAACCAGGAACTTCCTCCGGGTCTCCCACATGGGTGCAGGGTCCCAAGGCTTTGGGCCGTCCTCGACTGCTTTCCCAGGCCACAAGCAGGGAGCTGGATGGGAAGTGGAGCTGCCGGGATTAAAACCGGCGCCCATATGGGATCCCGGCAGGTTCAAGGTGAGTACTTTAGTCGCTAGGCCACGCTGGTGGGCCTTAGACTATCATTTTTTAAATACTACAGCATTATTAAATTTATTGAAGAAATCAAAATGATAAAAAAGGAAAAGGAACAAACTCCTGGCTTTGGCCTGACTCAACTCCAGCCATGGTAGTCGCCTGGGGAATGAACCAAAAGACAAAAGATCTTTTCTTCTCTCTGTAAATGTGCCTTTCCAATAGAAACAAGAAAGAAAGAAAGAAAGGAAGGAAGGAAGGAAGGAAGGAAGAAAGGAAGAAAAGAAAAGAAAGAGGGGGAAGGAGGAAGGAAAGAAGGAAAGAAAAGAAAAGAGGGGGAGGGAGGAAGGAAGGAAGGAAAGAAGGAAAGAAAAGACAAAGAAACAGGCATGAGCGTGGAACTTTCTGGCTAACTTCAACTTAACCTACTTCTTGGCATTATCTAGTTCTCATTTCAGCTTTCCTTAGGAAACAAAGCAAACTCTGGATTTTGGGGTTCAGTATCATAGCAGCCTTATAAAAAGCTCTTTTTTTAAGATTTATTTATTTTCATTTCAAAGATATACACAAAGGAAGAGAAACAGAGAGGAAGATCTTCCACCCAATGATTCACTCCCCAGCTGACCGCAACGG